GACCTCCTAAAATTCTTCTTTACCTGAGAAGACGAACTAACCAAGACAATGTATCCTCATATTTCGCTTTTACGCTGTGTATGATTTCCCTTTTGACTGTAATGGCTCTGTGGTATATTAATGTGGTACAAATGAATACTTATTAAATTTTTGATACATGTCTAAAGTCTGCATTTTAGTTATGAATAAAACTATTTGTAACGAAAAAATTATCCTTTTTTGATTATCTATTGATAACATAAGCTTTAGAAGATTAGTGTAAGTCAGAGTCGCGCACCGAGGATTCCGTATAATATTGTTAGGTAAGGTAAGGTATTAAATAGTTCGTCCGTCAGGAGAACCTAATCTCGAACATTTATCCCTCTTTCTCCGAGTATGTTAAATTTCCCCCTAGAATCAGTCCCCAAAAAGGTATAATTACAATATTACAATTAAAATTTATGATGCAACTATAACTTTGAAAATAAAATTAATTTAAGTATTTAAATACCAAACGCAAATACCTTTTTGATTTGTTATTTCAAACGTAAAATACAAAATAGATTTTCCTGTTGTATTTTAAATGCTAAATGCAAGATACGTATTTTCAAAATACTGTTTTCAAATAAATACTTTTCTGTAGTACCTTTTTAACTTTCTACGTTCACTTAAGTATAAAATATTTTTTAACAATGCCTTACAGACGTTACTCATTTTTTAAATATTGGAGTTTTTCTAGACTAAAACTGGTGTTTGCGCTACATCACCAGCTGCGAAGATTGAGTATGATTCATATTGTTCTGTTTGAAGTAATTGAGGTATAGTTTTTCTATCTTATGTTATAGTTTCTTCACAGTTCAGCAACATATAATTCTTCTATATGCTTCCGTCACTCGTTTTAATTGGAAAAAAAAACACTAATGCCAAAAAAAAATTTTGTTTGACGTGAAAGATCAGAGCCAAAATAGGATTGCAAATAATTTTATTGATGTAAAATCAAGATCAATAATTTTATATCAAAATATTTACAACCCCATTTTGTCTCTGATCTTTTACACATTGTAATAAGAGAAAGAAATGGAATCCATA